TGGTCTCGATCTCTTGACCTCGTGATCCACCCACCTCGGCCTCCCAAAGTGCTGGGATTACAGGCTTGAGCCACCGCGCCCGGCCTAGATTATTTTCTTTAAATATTAATAGACTGTGTGTGTATGAGTATGTGTGGTATTATTTTACTGGATACTTTTTCGCATGTAAGTGCCAAAATAAAACGTTCTCAGCTGCCTTGTACAATTTTCTAATTGGTTTACTATTTTTGTACATCAGTAGTTCTCAAACTTTAATGTGCATTAGATTTAGCTGGGGTACTCGATAAACACCAGATTGCTGGGACCCACCCCTAGAGTTTATGATTCAGTAGGTATGAAGTGAGACCCAAGATTTTCCATTTCTTTTCTTTTTTTTTTTTTGAGATGGAGTTTTGCTCTTGTCGCCCAGGTTGGAGTGCAATGATGTGATCTCAGCTCACAGCAACCTCTGCCTCCCTGGTTCAAGCAATTCTCCTGCCTCAGCCTTCCAAGTAGCTGAGATTACAGATGCACGCCACCATGACTGGCTAATTTTTGCATTATTAGTAGAGACGGGGTTTCTTCATGTTGGTCAGGCTAGTCTTGAATACTCTATCTCGTGTGATTCGCCCGCCTCAGCCTCCCAAAGTGCTGGGATTGCAGGTGTGAGCAACCATGCCTGCCCAGAATTTCCATTTCTAACAAGTATTAGCTTAAAGCTGTCTCCTTGCATATTTTAAGTTCGGCTTAAAGGTTTCTCCATGCGTAGTAAACTGTAACCTTACTGGATGTATGAACAGACAGTAAGCTACTCTTCTACCAATCATTGAGTTTTGGCCAATCAAAGGGGGCCATCTCTTCAAACCTTGTTCAAAATAAGGCAAACACCAAGCTGTAACCAATCCAGCTGTTACTGTCCCTCACTTCTTTTTTTTGTTAGTCACTTTCCTTTTGCTGTCCATAAATCTCCTTCCACCACATGGCTGCACTGGGCTCTGAGCGTACTCTGGCTCGGGAGGCTGCTTAATTCATGAATGATTCTTTGCTCAATTAAACTCTGTTACATTTAATTTGTCTAAGGTTTTTCTTTTAACACAAGTTTCTATGTGATGCGGATACTTCTGATCTAGGGACCACACTTGGAGGATCACTGATCCTTATACCTGTCTTGTGATGCTTTATACTCCTAGGATATCTTGATCCCTTCTCAGCACTCTCTGCTTACTGCACATAGAACTGTAACTTAAAGAGAGGGCTGAAAATGGCTATGGTGGACAACCGGGCCTGGGGTGTGTGTGCCCTTCCAGAACAGGGCCAGCAGAGGCTCTAAAAGGCAGACTTGACCAGAATGACAGTTCTGCCAACAATTCAGACCTCAAATTAAAGAACAGTTTTCATCTGTCTAAAGGTTGGAACAGGCTATTGTTTGTCCATCAGTCTCCACAGCAGCACATGCTCTAGAGACTGCAGTCCACAGCAATTGCATCACCTTTGAGTATGAAGGATGATGTTATAAATGCCACTACATCTAGAAAACATTTTTTAATTTATATTCTTCACTTCTGATCAGAGCTCAGCTAAGTAAAATGCTAGGTATTAAGTGAATTGATGCATTCAGTCAAATATTATATTAATTTCATTGTTACTATGGATTCAGTTCTAGTGTGATTTGTCCTGTAAAGTGATTGTACCACTGTATTATACAAAAGTCCATAATTGTTGAAACAAAGAAGGATTAAAAAAATTTGCTATAGGGTTTTTTCTACAAATATCTTTAGTCCAATGTCCTCAGGAAGTTGTGAAGTTTGTCTTTTACAGTAGGTCTTTAATCTATGTGAAATTATTGTGTATGTTGTAGGTAGCATCAGTTTTTTCCCATGTGGATTATTAGTGTTATTTATTGAATCATCCGCCCTTTCATCACTAATTTTTATTTAGGTCTGAGCTTTTTCTTATGTTCACGTATTCTGTTGACTTACTTCTGCAATAGTCAAAAACATGCATTTCTATTTTTCTTTGAATTCATTACATGGCCACGTTGGAATATTTCCATGACTTCCATGGTTTCGATTGCGTAAGCAATAGTCCATGGAGATCGGCTTGCTTCTGATACAGACTCAATGCAGCAGTCATTAGTATGGTCTACCAAGTGTTTCCAGTTCTCTACCTTCTGGGAAATGGTGGGATTGGCTCTTTCTACTCTCTTTACATTTAGGCATCACTATGAGACTTACTGCCAATGGGTTCATTCCTGAGTAGAATCATTAAATAGAAGCTCTAGGAACAAGCCTGTGATTTTCCACATTTTCCAATCCTGACTCAGCAATCATGGAAGCGTGGAGATAGAACTCTCTAAGTGAGACAGACATCAAGCAGAGCTCCAGGTTACCTTCAATACCTCAATAGACCTGGAGCTGAGTGAAACCAGTTGCCTTAAACCTCTGAGATTTTTGGAGTTGTTCATTACTGCAAGATAACCTGGCATGTCCTGAAAGGTAGAGTTAATGTGCCGTAACTTACAATTTGATAATTGGTGAAATGATAAATGAATACCCTGCATTTGTTAGAAGGTAATATTTATATGTTAATGTGTGTCTTTTCAGTTACTTTCCCCAACTGCCTTTCAATTATTTCATTCTTAGGGCACTCATATTCTCTAATCCCATGACCCGTCAATCAAATTCAAGTTAAATTTTGATAGCACACATTTTTTTTTTCTCTTAGCCTGTATTTCTTCCTCAAGCCTGCATTTCTTCCCTTGGATTGTTTACATTTTTAAATAAGTTACCTGAAAAGATTAATGTTTTACTTAAAATCTCTAATGACGATGATCATCTTTATGGCTCCATGGTGAGGGATCATTTGTGAAAAGCAGGAATCCTCATATTCCTCTTATTAGATCACATTGGTTTCTACTAATGTGACGTACATTTGACAGTGGCTCTGATATTAATGATCCATAATTCTTTATTGATGATGATCGCATTCACAAACCCTTGTGTTCAGCATCTGACTCATATTTCTGGAGTGGTAAAGATAAGAGGGAAAAACGCAAGAAGTGGTAGTAGTACTAAAGTGATATTTCCTTGGCAGAGGCACCTTTTTCAAATATCTTCACTGCTTAAATGTTCCTTTTTATTAATAAATTCCTCCCATATGCAAAATAATCTCATATTATGGCAGGGTTGGACAGTGGTAGAGGTGAAAAAAGAAAGAAACTAATGTCCAGAGAACTATATTTTTAATCCTTCATATTTTAACATAAAGCATATGAATCCTTTGATTGGCATATTTGCCTCCTAACAGCTAGGAGGTGTTAGGGGAGGCAGGGCATGGTTGGATGGGGATGATGCGTCATTTTAGAGTTTGGAACATGGCAGATATACATGGCAGGCAGGCACTGGGGCTTTGGCTTTGATAGAGGGAAGGCTTAGGACCTCTCAGACAGAACACAGCTATGAAAAGGGATATGGTCATGGGCATAATCAAATTCCTACTTTGTAATGAAAAAAAAATTTGGTGTGGGTTACAGGCATTCTGAAAAATCATCCTAAGTATCGGAAGCTACCACTTATACCTGTAATAGTTTCACTAAAGAATACCAAATATTTTTTATGCTAGAATACTATCTTGCCAGGCTTTTCCTTCCTTAAAAAATGAATGTTAATTTGTTAATTAACATTTATATATATATCTCATTTTAGGTGGTTCTTTGGAGCAATCAAAAGAGCAGATGCAGAGAAACAACTATTATATTCAGAAAATCAGACGGGTGCCTTTCTAATCAGAGAAAGTGAAAGCCAAAAAGGAGAATTCTCTCTTTCAGGTATGGGCATTGTTTTGTGTGATTCATTCTGAGCTTGAGAGTCTGCAGTCATGAGCTTTCTGTGTGGACACAATAATTTAAACTTTGCCTTATTTCTTATCTTTACAATAGCAACAAAATCACCACTAAACTAATCAAGAGTAATATAAAAATTAACCCAAGAGATACTAACTATGCCTAGAAGTATCTATAAATAGTTTCAAATATATATGCTCTAGATATGAAATGGAAAACATGGATCTGGTGACATTTTCTAACTTTTGCATTACCTAGAATTTTTTTAGGGAAATGATAAGCAAGAAACAACTACACTGTTGTCAAAATTGATCTTGTCACAATATAATAATTTTCTTCTGGCATTTCAATTGTCTTTGCTTGGTAAACACAAAAGGAATTGAAATGATTAGTGCAAATAAATTTAATTAACCCCATAATATGTAAAATTTGGTCAATGGTAGTTTTTCACCTAAGGATCAAGTACATGTTTACACTGCCCTATAACAAAAGAAACACAGGGGACCTGAAAATATACCCAGTAGTTACAGGTACCTAAATATATGTCTTTGCTTTGAAAAAGCTATGTTTTTAGTTATATTACCATGTTGCAGAATATCTTTTCTTTAAGATGCTACGCTAGGTCATCACTAAATGTGAGACTTTCTCTCTTCTTGCTCTGTTCTGTTCTCTGTATTGTCTAGGCCTGTCATTTGTGTTACCATCTCCTTTAAACATGTATTATTCTGTTTCTCTAATTAGATGTGAACCTTCTGGAGGGAGAGGATTTGCTTCCCTATATACCTGTTGCCCTGCAATAAATGCTGATTAAACATGATGCCCATTTGTCTCATTGTATCTGCCTGGCTCACTGAGCTGGAAATCAGGGCAGCCATCATGATGCTGCATGAAAGTAGGCCATAATTCCACGTGTATTGGGAACTTTGATCTGACCTGAACTCTGGCCAGTCTGTGTGTATTTGGTACACATTATCCTTCTCCACACTTTGTGGTTCCAAATATCGGGGCAGATGGGTAAGAGCTGGAGAGAATCAAGGACAGTGATTTTGAGGCAGGTGTTGCAGAGGGTCCATACTTCAGGTCCTAACTATGCTGACACTGAGTCAATATGGTACTCTAGAACCACATGGATTCAACTTTACTACTACCTAATTCCATGGATAAGAGGTTAGCAGATGCTGGTTCTGACACTTATTCTTGAAATGTGACTATGCGTGAAGTGTCACTTACCGTTTTTTTTTTTTTTTTTTTTTTTTTTTTTTTTTTTTTTTTTTTTTTTTTTGAGATGGAGTCTTGCTCTATCACCCAGGCTGGAGTGCAGGGGCACAGTCTTGGCTCACTGTAACCTCTGCTTCCCAGGTTCAAATGATTCTCCTGCCTCAGCCTCCTGAGTAGCTGGAACTACAGGCGTGTGCCACCACACCCAGCTAATTTTTGTATTTTTAGTAGAGACAGGATTTCACCATGTTGGCCAGGATGGTCTCGATCCTTTGACCTCGTGATCGACCTGCCTCGGCCTCCCAAAGTGCTGGGATTACAGGTGTGAGCCACCACACCTAGCCTGTCACTTATCTTTTAAATGTTGTTTATACCCAAGGTGATGATCAGAATATCTAATGACTGATATGGGATGGCACTAGTCACTCAGAACAGATGTTCCACCAGGCTGGGAATTCACACCAGTCCTCATCTGCATATCCAAGTGATATAAGTGAATATTTCATATAACAATATTTTTTTCTAATCATGAAAGAAACATAAAAAACTTTTATATAGGCAAACAGCTTAAAGAAGAAGAATCTAGAATATAAATTTCGAAAGATGCATGTTAAATATTAAAATACTTTTCCTGTCAAGATTCTAAAAAATTCTTGACCTATGAAGTATATTTTTATGCACATATACATATGCATACATACTCATAACCCCATACACAGAAAACAAAATTTTTGTTTTGAAAAACTGCTCTGAAAATAAGTTTTCAGAAGAGATTCTGCATCAAACATTAACTTGTACATAATGAAGTTCGTGTGTGTGTGTGTGTGTGAGTTTTGTAAACAAAATTCTCTGAAAAGGAATTAGAAAGAAAGAGACTTTACTCTGGGTTTGCAAACTTCCCAACTTCTGGGAAGTTTGCAAACCCAGAGGATGCAGCCTTCTGTGTAAAACAAATGTGCATTCAGAGAACAAAGGGAGGATTATGGTTTCATAGAAAAGTTACCACCCAGTTTCCCAGTCAGATTCTTTTATGCAAATGAAGGCTTCAAACTTGCTTAGTTCTGAGTTGAACCTTGATTGGTTGTTAAAGTTGAGTCCTGATTGGTTGATATAGCTGAGTCCTGATTGGCCAAAGCAGGTAAGTTCTGAAAGTCCCAAAGTTAAAGAGTTGTGGATTTTCAGGATACTCAGAGTAGGTGTGTGACCTCTATCAGCAAGTGACCTCTTAGTTCTATTTTAAATTCAGGACAAGTTAGCCACTTGGGATCCATCTTGAAGAACTGGCTCTTTCAGGTTAGCTTTTGTTAAAATAGTGTATAGCTCTATAAATCTATGTACATAGATAAATATACACACACCTATGTATACACACATATGTATATACATGTTTGTGTGTGCATGCATGTGCATAACATAGATCCAAGCTCCATTTTTCTCTTATTTCAGTCTTGCAGTATCTTGTGAACATTCTTGCATGCCCTTTAACATTCTTCTACTCTGTTACTTTTAGAAGTTGCATGAGTATATCATGATTTATTTGACTTATTTTATGTTTTGTATATTTTAATTATTTTGCTGCTATAAAATATGATACAGTGGACATCCTTGCAGAAAAATATTTGAATTTTCCATAATAATATTATATTTAGAGGAAGAAAAATCTTTTTGAAATCTCTATGCTTAATAAGAAGAGTTATAAGAAAATTCCTTGTTTAAATACATCCCTGTTTATTTATTTGTCTTTGTCGCTATTTACATATCAAATTAGGTGGCAGTTATTTAGTTGAAAGCTAGATCAAATGTTTTTAGATTAGCATTAAAAATATAGAAGAATGAGGCTTGGTGTGGTGGCTCATGCCTGTAATCCCAGCACTTTGGGAGGGTGAGGTGTTTGGATCACTTGAAGCCAGGAGTTTGACACTATCCTGGCCAACATGGCAAAACCCTGTCTCTGCTAAAAATACAAAAATTAACAGGACATTGTGGTACACACCTGTAATTACAGCTACTAGGGAGGCTGAGGCACGAGAATCGCTTGAACCTGGGATGTGGAGATTGCAGTGAGCAGAGATCATGCTGTTACACTCCAGCCTGGAGTGCAATGGAGGACAGAGTCCTTTGAGACTCTGCCTCAAAAAAAAAAAAATAAAAAGTTATTTTCATGAGGAAAACAAACTAGAAGTAGAATTACCTGAATTATGTCTTTGAATAATGCCCAGGCAACAGTGACTGTTCAGAATACTCTCTAAGTAAAAACAGCTTTACAGGCTTAAAACAAAATTACAAGGATATTGGCTGTTATGTACTGTGAATACTCTAGAGCCTGCTTATGGATTTAGGAAGCTCTGCAGGCCTTGCTTAGAAACCAGCATATCATTATAGATTTCTTTTCAATGAAGTCAAACAATTTAGTCTTTTAAACAAATTATCTGATTGCTATGTATTCACTGGGGTACCAAGTAAATGCATACCATTATGTTCTACTGAAAGAAAATTTTTCTTATTAGCCAGAGGGAAGGCTATATAGGAGAAAGATGGAAAGAAAAAGGGCTCACATTAAAACAAACAACCCAATTGCTGGCTGTTGATTATCACTAAGGATCTTCAAATATACCACTCATAGATTTATTTCTTAGTGCAGTTGTCTTCTTAATCAGTCTGAACTGATGGTCTTCAATTTTGCTGACTGCTGTGCTAAAGGAAGGCAAATAATATCCCTTTTCCATCTTTTTCTTTCCCACATGAGTTTTCCTTAGAAGTATTGTCTTTATTCCTTGAGCAACAACGGTTTGAACCTGCCAGAGAAGAGCTTCATCAGGGAGCATGATTTATTGATGCTGAGTGTGCTGAGAAGTAGCAGCCCAAGGTTGGGTGGGTGCTAATTGGGTTGTTGTGATCCCTGCATGGCTGTCTGCTCTTGTGAGGTCTGAGTAGATCTGAAAAGAGAGTTAGGGCCATGACACCTCTCATAACGGCAAGACACTAATTAGCTGTGAATCACAGCAGTGCTTTTGGATATTACATATTATATGTGGTAGCCAGAGAATCTGTCTTCATTAGATGCATGACAGGTAGTTTTAGTGGCCCTACCCTTATTTGTCATTGGCAGTGAATTGTTTTTCTGATGGAAAATATAAAATTCTAACTGCATGTCAACTGGCTTGGCTATTTCTTGACTTCAATCAATTACTTTAAAAGAAACTATTATTGTTATTACCATTAATATTAATTTGCTGGTTGGTGTCCTATAAGCATTAGTATTATTAATTGTTTAAAGTAGACTTTAAAGGAAATGTACTTTGGGGTCCAAAATTGAGCTCCAGCTGAGTTTTTCAGAAGAGATTCTGCATTGAATGCTGTGATTTTACTTGAGGCAACTCTGCATGTAAAAGCCTACAGAGTAGTGGAGCTTTCAGATTTTTCCTCAGTAAAACTCATTCAGCATCAAATAATAATATATTGAGGATAGTTGAAAAATGACTAAATTGAGGACATAAGGCAAAAGAGCTCATCAATAATATTCCGGGTGATGCATCTAGGAGTTGAACATTTACTTATACCTTTGTTTATTTCTTCAGTCGCATTCAGTATGCCCACTGGGTGCCAGACCTTCTAGTAAGTGAAAGGCAGCGAAGACCAGCAAGGCACAGTCCCTGAAGTCAGTCTAGAGAAGAATTACAATACAGTTCTTTTGTTGTGACACAAGAGAGGGCAGGGGCCAAGTCTCTGGGGGGAATCAGGGAAGGTATTATGTTACAAGGTGGCTG